AACAAACAAAAGATTCCTCTCCCTCTCTCTCCTCCCTCTCTGATGAGCAAATCTGCTCTTTGGAAAAATTTTTAGAAAAGAAGAAAAAGGACATACTTTCTCTGGGGAAGGTGGAAAATAAATTCCAAGACAAGTGACTATAAGCAACATCTGAAAGAAATAGGCATTTGATGAGACTCCATGAACTGCCAAGTGTAATGTCTGTCCTGAGCCTGTTCTGAGCCGTCACCCACACCTGAAGCAGACACACACCCCGTCTGGGCAGATCCATCAGAGGATATTTTTATGAGAGACCTGGAACACAGTTCAGCCCTGGCTAGGCTACCCGTGCTGGGGAAGGAGGGTTGTGATTTCATGCAGACGCAACTAAACAAGTCATAAACTGAAATACAGTTCAGGCTGCCTGGCCTGGAAGGGTCCCCTCCCATCTGAGTGTCACATACAGGTCGGACACCTATCATCTCATCTTTATGGCCTAGGCATTGTCCTCTCTATCCTGGGGAAGCTAGTCTGGCTTTAAGCGTTTGAAGATCTTAAAATGTGGGCCAGTAGATGGTGTGATGGTTAAGACACTGGACTCACATGTGGTCAACCTTAGTTCGGGTCCCAGACTCAGTGGCTTGAAAATTACACCAGGAACTTATGCGTGTGTGCCCAAAATTCCAAGAAGAGTATGGAGAAGAAGGGACTGTGGCATGGCCATCCCCCAAGGGGTGATTTCTCCCTTTCTATCTCTGTCTATCTGGTGAGCACACATACCCTAGAGCAAAAAAAACTCTCTTAAAAAAAAAAAAAAAAGTAAGATATCTTTCCTAATAGAAGCAGTTCCTCATTACTCTCTAAGCCTTCAAAGGCAACATCAGAACTCATGGTCAGGAGATATTTACCCATTTAGGACAAACCGAGTTGACTATCTAAGGATAATGGCAGGGACAGGTGGGATCTGGGGACCATAGCGTGTCCCAGTATCTGAAGAGGAGGAGACATTTGAACGGGACCAGAGTGCAAGAAGCACCAGGCAGCTGACGGCCTAGAGCGGAGGTCAGGTGACAGTCACAGGTGCTTTTACTCCGTAAAGCCTGGCTCAGCCACAGACATGCTGACGAGCTGCCTCCTTGCTGCTCCTGCCCCCACTGTCATAGTTGAAACCACTGGCCAGAGCCCGCTGCTGCCGGAGCTACTGAGTAGTTTCGGGCCTCCCCAAACCTTCTTCTGGGCCTGCCATATGCCATGGGAGATGGACAGCTGTGAGAAGAATAAGGGCAGAAGCTCAGATCACCTTGCACAGTGCACAGCATCATCTCCTCCTGCCTCCTCCCCATCATCACCACCATCACCACGCCCACTGTACTGAGCGCCCATGATGTCCCAGGCCCAGAGTTACGTCTTTCACACAGTGTGCCATGAAGTCCTCATCGTCTCCCACAACCCTACAGAACTCTTCCAGCCGCACCCTGCCTTCGCTCTCTCCAAACCTTCAATGTCCGGTTCAGGCCCCACTTCTTCCATGAAGCCTTCCCTGATCTTTGAGAAAAGCAGGTGTCTATTCTTGTATAACAGTAGAATTCTGGTTTTGGCTTTTGTTGTTGTTGTTGTTGTTTTGAGAGAGAGAGAGATTTTTGCTGTAGGGCACGTGCACTTGCCAGAGAGACAGAGAGAGAAAGAGAGACAAAAAGCAAGAAATCACCCCCACCCCCACCCTGGGAGAATGGCCAGGCCACCATCCCTTCTCCTCCATTCTCTTCTTGAGATTTTGGGCACACACCCACACACAAAAACACACACACACACATATGTGCCTGGCATGAGTTTCAAGCCACCAGGTCTGGGACTCAAACCGCAGTTGACCATATGGGAGTCCAGTGCCTCAACTATCATGCCACCTGCTGGCCCCTGTTTTTTTTGTTTTTTGGTTTTTTTTGGAGAGATTTTCACTATAGGGTGCGTGCGTGCGCTCGCCAGACAGACAGAGAGAAACAGAGAGACAGAAAGCGAGAAATCACCCCCCAGGGGGGATGGTCAAGCCACAATCCCTTCTCCTCCATTCTCCTCTCGGGATCTTGGGCACGCACGCACATGCGCCCGGTGTGAGTTTTAAGCCACCGGGTCTAGGATGCGAACCGCGGTTGACTACGTGGGAGTCCAGCGACATAGCCATTACGCTAACTGCTGGTTCCCCTGGCCCCTGTTTTGGGCTTTGACCTGTTGAAAGTTTCCATTAGGACTTGGAAAGACCCAAGGATGGCTTGTCTGTGTTGTCATCACGTCACCAGAAGACCGAATATGAAAGATCCCCTTTCCACGCTGAAACAATGGATTAGAACCACCACAGTGAAATCTATCAGGCTTGTTGGCAGGGAGTGGGAACCCACTGAAAAGACTATTTTAACTGTGGTCGTATATATATGGAGTCTGAAACAAAGAAACACGTCTCTTTCTATATTTTGTCCTAGTCAGATAACAACCAAAAATCACCCATAGGTCAAAGCGTGGGCTGACAAAGGATCCAGAAACCAACTCTTTGAAGAATGGCTAAAGACCTGAGATGTGCATTTGGAGGAAAGATAACTCTTGGAAACGCGATGTCCTTTTTCAGGAACACTTACTGGACGAGGAGCTGGGCGGCCTGGTCAGAGGGCCCACCAGGACCTCTGTGGATGAGTTACAGGAAGACATACTTGACTCAGCATGAGAAGGAAGTTTCTAATCTTTAAACCATCCCACACTGGAACATGATCTCTTGAAAAAAAGCATGTTTCTCGCTCCCAGAGATGTCTCTCTGGTACTGAGTGACCATCTGACAAGGAGGCAGTGACAAGAATTTTATATGTGCTGAGGGCAGGCGTGGGTGGGGATAGACTGATTTGTCTTTCAAAGTCTGTTTCAATTCCTATATGATTCTCTATGCTATTCCTTCCTGATCAATGTCCTTAACTTAGCAAAGCTAAGCTGACTATGCAGATGGATTGGAGGGGTGGAGCTGTGTGGGGGTGGGGGGTGGAGGATGGTGACTAAGAGGATGCAGAGTGCCCAGCACGTGTGGGTCACAGCAAAGGTTGGCACAGCTTCCTCCCAGGTTTCAGGACTGAAATGCTAGACAGGAAGGAACTCTCACTCTAGTCCTGGGATTCTTCCTCCTTGAAAGTAGTTTATCAATGAAGAAGAGAATGGGGTGGAAGAGACCCCAAAAGCATAAACAGACTGAAAACTTCCCAAGCTGCTGAAACCAGAGAAAGATGCACCTACTGGGGTGAGAGGAGAGGGATTAAAAACAGAGTGTGTAGTGGACCAGCAGGTGGCATGGTGGTTAAGGCGCTGGACACTCCCACATGGCTAACCATGGTTCGAGTCCTGGACTTGGTTGCTTGCTTTCTCACTCCCCTGCTCCCCTCTCTATCTGTGTGTCTCTTTCTCTGGTCAAATTAAAATAAATGAATAAAGAAAAATTATTAAAACAAAGAAACAAAAGAGTATATAGGAGAGAAAGGGGGAAGATGAATGTGGAGGAAAAAGTGAAAGACATCAGAAAGGGGTAAGATCCCAGCTAAGGGGGATCTGGCTGGGAAGGGAGAGTGACAAAGGTGAGCAGCACCTCACCTTCCGCATGTGCAATCATCGTTTTTGTATTATTATGGACCAAGAAAGGAAATGACCTCTCCTGGAATGAAAAGGTAAGACCTGGAGGGGAAGTTGATTGCTGTCTACAAAAGGACTTCTTAAAGGAAGAGGCTCTCTTTGGGAACCAGCAGTTAGCGTAATGGCTATGTCGCTGGACTCCCACATAGTCGACCATGGTTCACGTCCCGGACCTGGTGGCTTAAACTCACACCGGGCGTGTGTGCGTACTCACACAAGATCCCGAGAGGAGAATGGAGGAGAAGGGATTGCGTCGTGACCATCCCCCCTGGGGGGCGATTTCTCGCTTTCTGTCTCTATGTCTCTCTCTGTCTGTCTGGTGAGCGCACATGCCCTATAGCGAACACCACAAAAAAAAAAAAAAAAAAAAAAAGGGGGAAGAGGCTCTCAGCCAGGGCAGAGTTGAGGGAAAGAAAAGGACTTAGGGGGGCCTGTGAGAGGGGCAGTCTGATGTAGCTGAGAAAACAGCGACTGTGCAGTCAGGTCCCTGCACCACCACTGGTGAGCTTCAGGAGCCTGGGTAGGCTGCTCTTCCTCTCTGGGCCTCAGGGTCCTTCTGCCAAAAATCAGGAGTCTGGGTGGCCAGGTGGTGGTGGGTGCAGTCATGCACTGAACCCACATGGGAAAGGTCCTGAGTTCATGTCCTGGGACCTCTCTGAGCATGCCAGGGGCCCCTGGATCACAGGTGAAATCTTCTCTAGCTGGATGGGCTATTGTACACGCCAACCAGGTTAATCTGTAGCTAGAGCATGACTATCTTGAACTCAGAAAATGGCTCTGTGACTAGATTGCACTTTCTTTTGTTAATTTCATGTTTGTCTTCCAGAAGAGTCATTCCCTTTGAACATTCTACCCTATCTCTTCGGACCTTGCCTTGGAAAGGGAGGAGTTTTGCCCCTGCCTGGGCAAAAGGATAGTAGCAAGCAGATTCACAGGGTGTCCTAACTTGCCCGGGTTGAGGGGTTTCCCAGGACACGGGATATTCAGCCCTGGGCCAACTGGGATGGCTCACCCTGGCAGTAAGATGAAGGTCTGGAGGTGGCTTGGAGGGGAGGTCACTGGAAGAGCTCCCTTCCTGGTCCCTTCCTCTCTGGAGTTTCCCTTGTCGGCCCACTGACTTGGAAGGTGGTTTTCATTGCAAGGTGTGTGTCCCTTCTTGGGGGTGTAGGTCACAAGCCCCATTGAGACAACCATTGCCAGGAAAGAAAGAAGCTGAAATGCTTGACTAGCACTGATGCTGTGGGGGATTTTCCCTTTTTCTTCAAAAAAACAGAAAAGACCCAGTGGAAAAAAAAAAAAAAAGTGATGAGTTGTGAGGCAGGCAGCGGCCCTCCGCAGCCCCAGGAGACAGCACGCAGCTCATTTGTTTAAATTTGCAGCTGACGGCTGCTACCTCTCTAGAGACCCCGGCTGGAGAGTCTCTCAGCAGCGGTGACCAGTCTGGGAGTCACAGCTGCAGCCATGAACTACCCCCTAACCCTGGACATGGACTTCATGAACAACCTGGATGACCTGGATGACCTGGTGAGTAGGGACAGGCAGCTCCCTGTCCCCTGGGCCCTGCTTGTAACTCAGATATGCTGCACCCCGGCTCAAGGGAGAGGAGACGACTTGGGAACCCCCTCCCACTGTGGATCCGTGGGACCTAGACAGGCCCATGGGCTCCAGCCTTTCCAACTTTATTCCCCATCCCATGGAGAAAGCAGGTAAGAAGTGCCATTTCCCTGACCAGATGTCCTGGTGGGAGCTGGAGGGTGTGGCTCAGGCCCTTCATGGTCCCGACTTGACATGTGACCGGGAACACACGACCCTTAGACTGTCCATTCCCCAGTGAGGGACCCTCTCCTTCCCCCTTCAAATCGGAATAGGGACTAGGCGGGGACACACCTTGGAGGTTTCCTAAAGGTCTGGAGGCTGGCACTGATTGCTCACGCAATGGAGAGCTCCGTCTCTCTATGTGACAATACCTTCCGTGGGTTACCTTCCGTGCTTGATCTCTGCCCTCAAGTAGCTTACGGACTGGCCAGGAAGAAACAAAATCATTACTGGAAGCCACTAGACAATGGCTGTGTGCTAAACTGAGGTGGTGTGAGACCAGATGGTAGCAAGGTGGAGGGTCTCGGCGGGCCAGAATCTGGGAGGTGGGGTTGGTGAGAAAACTCTGCGACGATCCTGGAAATGTCTTAGCGCAGGCTGTGGCCTCCTTCCTGGGACTAGAATTTCTAGGCATGAGGTGTTCTTGGAAAAGGCTCTTGGCTGGACGAAGAACATTGCCTCTAGCGACACGTTGTGCCACCCCCATCCCCACCAGGTTTGTCCCATAAAGCAAGGTCCTTCAGTTGACCAGTTGTCCCTGGGGCAAAGGATGTGTGTGGAAAACAGCTCAACCAGAGGATCCCAAGCGCCCGTGTGCAGGTGCAGAGGACTGACTGGGCTTGCATGAAGCTTCTTCGTGGTGTTTTCCTTCTCTGAGCTGCATTCTGGGCTAGGTCCTAAAGGATCCAGACCCTGGCTCCCACTGGCTCTGCTGACCCTAAACCCCCTGCGCCGCTCTCTGAGTCGAAGCCCGTGTAACCCCACTCAGTGCATTCCTAGACTGGCGTGGAGAAGCCCACCACTTACTTGCCCAGATCCCAAGGCTTGGAAGTGTGAGTAGAACATGGGGAGGAGGTTAGAGAAAGGACTCATGACATAAAGTCTCTCCCCTTGGCTCCAAACCCCATTAACATCAGAGCCAGACCATCCATCAAATCAGGACCTGCAGCATAATTTGTGGCACCCGATGCAAAATGAGAACTCAGGGACTTTTGCTGAAAAATTATGAAGAATTTCGAGGTGGCACTGAATCAAGCATGGGGTCGCTCTGAGTGCAGGCCCCCGTGACCGCACGGGCACGGCCCTGCTGCTGGCCCTGGGGCTAATCAAAGTCTGGGCAATACCCCAAATGAAACGAAAAACCCACCACCCTGACAAGACAATGTGCTCCCACCCTGGCCCCCGGCCAGGCCGCTGCCTCTCCTGATTAGGTTACTGGGCACTTTCCTCTGCCCACAGCTCCGAGCTGACCATGACCCTGACCCAGTTGGATAGCTTAGTAACCAGCTGGAGCCCTGGCCAGCCCTGGCTTCTGAGAAACCTCAAGAGTTTCCCCTAACTGCTCGCCTCACCTCACCTCACTGCGTGACCTAGTAGAGGCAGGTGGTGGGGGGGGGCGGCAGGGCAGTGCCCGTATCACGAAGAAAACCTATATTCTGGGGAGGCAGTCTGCTTCACATCACACCCATGCGTGGTCCTTAGCCTGGACCCCTCAGTCAGATTGTGGCCAGGAGTCCTGGAGCCATCTGGACCTGGCCAAGCAGCCGCCGGTGCCTCGTCCTGCCTTCACTCACCTCCTAGGTCCTCTTCTCCAGGGCTCTGACCCCTCACAAGCCCGGACTCTCTCCTGCACCCTCGCAGCAGGACCAGGAGCAGCACTCACAGACCCCCACAGTGTTGGCGCAGGCCAGCTGGCCAGAGCAGGTGGAAGAGCCCCTCAGTGGGCAGTGGCTGACTCGGGCTGTGTTCACCATCTCAGCTCACTATTTCCCCCAGGGCTGAGTCTCCAGAGCTTCTCCTTCTCCTTCCCCTTACTCTTCCCATCCTTGTCCAAACCAAGGACAGCAGCCGTTCACCTGCCTGGAACCTGGGGGTGAGAACTGGGGACTCTTGGTTAGAAGCCGAGTGTCAGCCATGCCTGTATCTCCTTCTTCTTCTTGAACTCTAAGATCAACTTTGGCCACTTCAAATGTCCATCTTCTTAGGGTGGGCTGTTAATTCTCATGAAAGAATGATCCAAACAGAAAACAATCTTTTAGGTCGTCGAAAAAGTCATGATGTATTTTTCTATCTTTCTATGCAAAGATGCATCATGATTTTTCCAATGACCCGATACGTGGCTAAGAAGCAGGGAACAGAAGGAGCCAGGTCCCTGGAGTGGTGTGCCAAGGACCCGTCCTGCTGGGGAAGCTGATGTGGGCAGACCTAAAGCAGTCCCTATCCATGGGAGCCTGGGCTGGGCCCCCCACAGAGGCTGGTGGTAAACCATACCCCAGCCCCACGTGCCAGCAAGAAGCTGCTCCCATGCTGGACGAAGCTGGCCCAAGCCCCAGGACTGGCTTCCCTGGAGCCCTCCCTGTTGGTGATCGCCCCAGACCTTGAGTTTGGGTGACCAGAGCTCCTCAGGCGACAGTGCCTGTCTACAAGGAGCGCCTCATTTCACTAAGGTGTGAAGAAGAGGAAGCAAAACCAGCCTCAAGCTGCTTCTGGGCTTTACCTTGGGGGAGCGGAGGATCCTACCCCCAAACCTGGTCAAAAGTCCAGAGGAATCCCAGTGGAAGGGGCCCCAACAGGGGTGACGGCTAAAGGGTCAGGCCTGAGGCCAGCCTAGGGAGGGGTCAGCATTGAGGTGAGTCTGGACCTAGGTGTACAGACCACAGGGTCTCCATCAGTAAATCTGCTTTAAAAAAGTAAATTTCTTTTCATTGTAAGAGGGGGTGTGCACCTCTCTCTCTTGCCAGAAAGAGAGGGAGAAGGAGAAAGAACCCCCCAAGCAAAAGGCGGTCAGGCCACAATCCCTTCTCTTCCACTCTCCATGCTGTCGGGATTATGGGGCACACATGCACATGTGCCTGGTGTGTTTTTCAAGCCACCAGAGTCAAAATTTGAACCGTGGTCAGCCCTGTGGGAGCTGGCTCCCGTACCCACTAGTCCTCAGGAACATTTGCCTTCCTTGGGGACACAGACTGTGAGCGATCCTACTCTTCTGGCCGAAACAAATAGTGACCATATATTGGAACCGAGGATTAGGACTCGAGGAGGAGTGTGCCTTCAGTAGTGACAGTGGTAAGATACTTTGAATCAGCACTAACCAGGAGGTGGCTTCAGAGGCTGCTGCACCCACCTAGGAGACATGTCTGGCTGTGCCGTGCAAATAGGTATTGGGATACCAGGGAGTCCCTTTAAACCGGAAGACTGTGCAGAGGTAGAGGTAGCTTCAGGCCTCCCAGAAAACCCCATCTGAAGCACTCCCACGCTCCTCATGGCCAACACCCTTGGTCGCAATGGACGGGGGCGTTGGCTGGCTGGCTCCTGAAGGGTGGGGGTAGTGAAAGGGGGATGCGATCGATAGTTGGCAGGCCAGGGCCTCCTCTGGTCTGAGGGAGGGAGAGTGCAGTAAGAGGTAGACTTATTCTGCAGCCCCAGCTCATTCCTCCAGACCCCAGCACCTCCTAACCTCCTAAGGCTGGAATGAGTGATGCCCTGGCCATCCCCACCCCCAGCTCCGACTCTTGGCTAGGAGTAGCCACACGGGGAGAGAAAAGAGATGGACCCTGTGCTCCCATGGCCCATGCCATGACTGCCATGTGTGCAGGCGTGTCCCTTGGAAAGCATGATGTAGGTCGTGGAGTCAGGGTTCCACCTGGGCAGTCCCGCCCCCCTCCTCAGGGCTGAGGGCAAGGTCAGGTTGGGGCGCTCACAGGCTGCAGGCCAGGCCAGAGATGCTGAGCGGACAGCACGGAGGCAGCTCAGCCTGGACAGGCGTGGCAGGCAGGGGCAGGGGATGGGGAACCAGGAGCCAGGGGCCTTGCGGTGTGTGGGGGGGCAGGGCCCAGCCTCTCCTCCCACACTCTAGGACTGGAACATTCCTCTGCCCACCTCATTCCAGGGTCCCATCCCTCCTTTGACCAAAACACCACCCCTTTCAACTTCTGCCCCTTCCTCCTGGGTCTGTCCCCTCCAC